GTCCTGCCGCCGAGGGTGGGCGCAGGTCCTCGAAGGCGCACCGCTGCAGACCCGACCACCAGGAGCTTTGGTTGACCGAGCGCCGGCTGGCGGGGCGTTCGTTGGGCTTTTCGTGCGTCGTCTTCAGGATCAGCTGCTCCAGGAAGCGAGATGGCGAAGCCGCCACCCAAACCGGTCAAACCAGGTAAGGGAGGTGCTCGCCGGGTCCCCCGACCGCCTCGGTGCCCTGCAAGCTTCCTTTGCCACTTGGCCGGGCAGACCCGGCACGTACCCGGCCCGGAGCCTCGCTCTCGAGATGCGACCCACCAGGAGAGGAGTTTGCTAGCTCTGTTGCGTTCGCGAAAGGGGAGGGATCGTTTTGGATAGCAAGAGGATTTCGAAGATTTTTTTAAAAAGTGTATTTTAAAAGTGGTGTCGCCCTCGGTTTTACAACGTTGACATTCTCTGCGACTTTCAAGCAAGCGGGTGTGATGGCTTCGTCCCATTGAAACTTTCCTGCGATGGATCTTCCTTTTCAAAAGAAATTAAGTAAATGTCTCGAAATGGTCTTGTAGCCACTTCCTTTTTTTTTTTTTTTTTTTTTTTAGTGTGTGTCACTGTCAAGTTAGAGTTCTTGACCGGCCCGAGAGAACAGGAAGTGCGCTGCTTGCAGGGTGGGGTGGGTGAGCGAGTCTCCTTTGGGACTTTTGAGAGGAACAGCGTTTGAAATTGATCTCGGGATCTTGGGAAAAACATTTAGAAAACTTGTACTCGGGTTCATGGCGAGAACAATCTGGGCTGCGGCAGAGCAATCTCGGCTGTAACCATTCGGAAGCGTCACTTTATCGTGCCCTGCGAGTCCTTTGCCTCCGCTCCCCAGTGGTTTGGCCTCTGCACTGGAGAGTGCGAGATTACTAAATTACCCAAAGCCCTGTTCTTGGCCCATAGTCCTGGTTCATTTTCGACTCCATTCTAGGATATTTTCTGCGATAGGGAGAAAAGAGAATTTAAAAGGGACTGATGTATTTCAGATCAATTCTGCATAACAAACTCTCCCACATTCATTTGGTAGGTAATTATGGGAAACGTAGGAAACGGAAAATAAATAGCTCTGACATACTCAGGTTTTTTCCTCCCAATCTCATGGAACTTCGGTATAGCATGGACTGCTGAAAGATATCAATTCACTTTACATTTCAAAGTAACCTTGGTTGGAAGGCATAGAGTTTCCGTGATTAATTTTTTCTTGATTTTTTTCTAAACTTTAGTGAAGCACTACAACTTGCATGATTATTCAGTTTTCTTTCTTTGCCCACATATATTGTCAGTTTCAAGTCATTTTATTTGAAAATTGTGTACATACTCACATATATGGAATAGTGATTCACTGAGGACTTAAATTTTGGTGGGCTGGGTATGGAAAAAGTTTCTGGGACTTTGGCTCTGCTGTGAGCAAAGATGGGGCTTGGCCAGAATTGGGCTCTGTGCTTCTTTAAATGTGGAATCTGATGAGGAATTTGCATTTTAAGTGAATATGTAGGAGGTGGCCACTTTCTAAACTCAGATGTGAATCATGACCTCAAGTATTCAACAAAGCATAGTTATTATTTGATAGCTAAATGAAGTACTGTACTTTATTATAAAGAATGTCTTGAGAAGCTATTCATGAGGGTTTTTAAAAATGTCTTTAGACATTAAGTGATATCTTTGCTGTAGCTGGAGGGACATTGAATCTGATGTGTATGTGTGTGTGCACGAGTGTGTACTTATGCACACATGGGTGTGGTTTAAGGACCATAGTGTTACCAGTTGGGGATAAACTCCCAGGAATCATTTTTGTTGTCTAATATCACTGCTTTCTCCTCTTCAGCAAACCAGAAAGCAAATGGTTGAAAATGACTGTTGTTTAGAGACAGCTTGGATTCCTCCCAGATTTACAAATGACATCCAAACTCATAAGGTTACCGTAGAAATAGGGTCCCTCTAGTTTTCTGCAAAGCAAGAACCGGGCAGAACAGCATGGCTTAATTCATAGGCAATATGAGAAGGAGGACAGCTAAGCGAGAGAGGACAAAGGACTTAATGGAAAATTTTAGTAATAAAGAACATTAAGCTATAATGTGGGCTAATGTATCTATCAGGTTGATTGGCAATACCCCATAAGGGGACCTTTTTGGAAAGGAGGCTGCCCAGACAAATGCTGGTCAGCTGCTTGTGGGAAAGCCCTGCCACTTAATTTCTTTGTGCATTTCCTTAATTTCCTTCCTGAGGCTAAACCAGGGGTCACCTGGTTTGGGATTTTGTCCACAATCAAAATTCATTTGCCAAAAGCACTTCTTAATATACGTAGGCCCCGTGCTAGACGCCGGCGTCCCAAGGAACAATGACATAGGTTCTCACTCATGAGGGTCTTGAGTCTAATGGGGGAGATTTACATATGCACAGATTAATTTTAGGTTGTTCCTACAAGTGAATGGCTGATTTGTCCATTTTGTGTAAAAAAATCTTGTAGTTAAAAATAAAAGTAATATTTTTATTATAGAACCTTTAGAAAATAACAAACATATAAAAACCATCCCTACTTATCTGGTGATAAGCACTGTTTTTCCCCAGTTTATTTTTTTCTTTTTCAAATCCATTTCATTCGAAAAAGAAAATACAAACAGTCATTCCCAGAACAGAATCAGATTCCATTTTAAGTGCCTTGCTGCTGGTTGCCATGTTTCCTATAGTCTCTGTGGTATCACCTACCCTCTGCTTGAAAAATCAATTCTGTCACATTTTAACCTTTCCTTGTTTACTGGTGTTTTTTATTCCTTTAGGGTCACTGTTGGCCATCCCAGGTCTTTTATCGAAACTCTACCTTCTAATTGTTAGATGTGTCACTATGGTACTCCATCGGCTAACATGTGTCACAGTTTTATGGTTTAGCTCATTCCTTATAGAATCCTCTTTACCTTCTACTGTTTTACACACATGTGGCATTTCTGTTCCTTTCAGCCACCCTCTGGAGCCTTGCAGTTAAATTAGGGTGAACCGGTCTGGCTTGTCGGAGTGGAGAAAACAACTTATGTTCTCACAAAGCCTTTTTTTTTTTTTTAAAGAGACTTTATTCTGAGACTTGATGTAAAATGGGCCAAAGGATATTGAATGAGATGTGGCTACAATCCTTGCATTCAAAGCAGGTTTGATGACCCTCCACTGTAGCGGGAAGCCTGAGGTCTGACCTTGACCATTTCTTTAAAATGGCTTATTGATTTTGATGGTGGAAGTAAAGCAGCATAAATATTTCACATGTCTTCTGAAAATAAATTTGTGGGACATTGAAGAAGCAGATGCCAATGTTTTGGGTTCTTTTGTATACACAGTAAAAAACAAACTTCAAAGATGTCACACATATGCTGCTTATATAACACCATTGAGAGGAAAAAGGTCTTCATCCAAAACCATCTGAACTCTCATATAATTTTTTCCCTCTTAATAAATGAATGTCAGGGGTGCTCCATTATAAAGTTTGAGAAACGCCTTGAAAATGACAGGGTGATGATGATGATGATGGTGGTGGTGGTGGTGGTAATAGTTAACATTTATTCCTAAGTGTCAGGAACTGTGCCAAGAACTTTAAATGCCCCATCTCATTTGATTATTTTAACTTCCCTAAAAGGTAGATCCTAATATCCCCATTTTATGGATGAAGTAGGACTTAGTGAGGTTAAGAAAACTATTTGAGGTCTCAAAGCTAGAAAGTGGTTGGTTTGACCCAGGAATGGAACATAAGCCTTAACTGGAGTCTCTGCATTTTGCTCGGAGAAACCTGTGAGGATTCTGTTAGATTGGACGAGGTTTTGTTGGGCAACCATCCTTACTAACTTAGGCAATTGTATTTTTTATATTTGCTTTGTATAACTCCTCTTTCAATAGGTCTGTATTAGACTATTAGATACTTTTCGAGAATAGAATAATCTTTTATTTCTTTGTACCTGCATAGCAAATAAACTTTTTATGCATGACATACATAAAAAGTCTTGATACATAATAAAGTCTTTGTCTGGAAGAAGGTGAGGGAGACTGTGGTTGGGTACATCTTGTAGCTTCACCATAAAGAAGCAAAGACTGGAGGCACTGTTCGTCAGCACTACTTCTGAAAATAGTGGGGGTCCCCTCCCTTTTGTGTTAACATTCCCACTGTGATTAATAACTAGTTTTTCTGACACGCCTCTGTAAGGGAGGAAAAATATTTCCTCTACCCTCTTAGGTTCTATGTCTGCGTCCTATGAATTAAACTGAGAAAAAAACAGATTAACAGAAGAAAAATGCATACAAATTTATTTTGTTTTTAATTTTATATGTACACCAGAGGCCCAGTGCACGATATTTGTGCATGGGTAGGGTCCCTAGCGGCTGCCAGCTGCTGACCAGGGCCTCCCTTCCTCGGCTGCCGGTCTGGGCCTTCCTTTGTTCCGCGCCGCCCACTGGTGGTCAATGCACATCATAGCGAGCGATTAAGCTCCCGGTCCGTCGAACTCCCGAGGGGACACTTTGCATATTAGGCTTTTATATATATAGACTAGAGGCCCGGTGCACAAAAATTTGTGCACTTGGGGGGAAGGAGGGTCCCTCAGCCCAGCCTGTGCGCTCTTGCAGTCTGGGACCCCTCGGGAGATAACAACCTGCTGGCTTAGGCCCGCTCTCGGGTGGCAGAGGGCAGGCCCAATCCCTAGGTGCAGCCCCTGGTCGGGCTCAGAGCAGGGCCGACTGGGGAGTTGGGGCGCCGCCCCCTGTCATGCACAGAGCAGGGCGGATCGGGAGGTTGCGATGCCACCCCCAGTCACGCTCAGGGTAGGGCCGATTGGGAGGTTGGGGCACCGCCCCCTGTCACACTCAAGGCAGGGTCGATGGGGAGGTTGCGG